AAAAAAAAAAAAAAAAAAAAAAAAAAAAAAAAAAAAGCGGAGTGACTACGCATTGCAGAATCGGATACGAGAAATTGAAAGGAGAAGAGAATAGCGTACAGACTGCACCTGAGCGTGAATTGGTGAGGCGATAGAAAGAGGAGAGAAGAGAATTAATAGAGCGCGAGAAGCGAGATGGCGCTGGTGCGAGTAAGAGCCATGCGCAGCGAATTTTAATACGCGAATTGAATTTGGAGATCAGAGAATCTGTGGTGGAGACAGGAATGGAATTTGTGGCGGAGTCAGTGGTGGATGCTGGTGGCAGAGTGGGCGTGTGTTTATTGGTTTTTGGTTTGTTTCGCTTTGCTTGGTTCGGTAGAAGCTATAATGGTGCAAGAGGAGTGCTGTCTCTTACTGTGGATTTCGCTTTATTTTTTTTTTTCTTTGTCTTGCGGTCTTACCTGTTACCGGGTGTTAACTGGCTAGGACTCCTCTCGCGCTTGCTGTGTTTTTAAGTTTTGCATACTTGTTTGCCCGGTGTTCAAGGAACTTAGTCCTCGCATTCTTTAATTTGGGCTCAGCCCATGGTGTGCGCACTGAAGGCCCAACGCAATCCAATAAAAAGAGGCCGGGTTTATATATTAGTGCTATTAATTAATTAATTAATGTTATGTTCTTAAATGAATGAATATTACCACTTCTGTATCCAAAAGTCATATCCATATACTGTACTAACGTTTTTGAAAGACGAGTAATCCACACAAGAAAAATAGATTCACAATGTTGTTTGGGGAAGAGCAATGGTCCGAAATTGATATGCCTATGTTTGTGTAAATAGTGATAATCATATAAATATTGATTACGTGGACCATAGTCAACATGTATCACAGTATCAGTGGCACGTTTGGAAAGGTTTCATGGTATGGAATGGTTTGGTTTCTCATAAAGTATACTCCTATTCATTAATTAAGATAAGAGTTTTAATGGAAAAAATCTCAATCAACACACTTTTCATTAAATATCGTTTTCATGTAAATATGACTTTTCATGCCAAATAAAAGAGTAGATTTATAGTACTTTTCATAACTGTAAATTGAGATTACTAAGGAAGTTATTGTTAATTTTCTTAATTTAAAGAGATTTTGTTTATATATTTCTTATTTTACTCTTTTTAAATGAGATGTTTTCACAGATTTTTTAAAATTAATTATCATCAATTTCTTCTCTCACATTTAAAGTTTTTAATGATTTTTATTTCTCCCTTTAATTAATATTGACTATTTATCTTTCACTAAAATATACGTAAAAATTAAAGGATATTGATTAAAGTAGGTTGTTGACTATTGGCTGAAGTAATATAATTGTTTATAAAATAATTTAAAAAAAATTCAAGGGTATATAATGTAAAGAATAAAAAAATTAATACTACATTTGAAATATGAACATGATAAATAATATTACCTTCGTTTTGAAAACAATTCCTAGAGATTAGTGGTTCGTCGACAAACTGTTAACTTATGTCTTATGCCCAAATTACAAATTATACAGACATAGTTAAAAAATACTCAAAAAATTATTTAATATGAAAATTTTGTTTGTTAAAGTGATATTTTTTTAAAATGAAGGAAAGAGGTATGAAGGAAAAAGATAATTTTAAAATAAAATTTATTTTGAAAAGGAAAAAGCTAAAAGAATATTTAAAAATATTTTTGGAAAAAAAAAAAGGAAAGGAGACACTTATTAAAAGGATAAGGTATATATATCATTTCGGACTATTTAAAAAAACTCTTTCATAAATATTTATGGAGAAAAAAAAAAGTCTATTCGCAAGTTAAAATTAGTTTAAATTTTTTTAAAGAAATTATATAATCATGTATTTAACATCGTTAAATCATTAAAATAAATAAATGAAATATGAGATTAAAATGTGCTACAGTAGTTTAATGTTAATTTGTTTCCATTTATATTAAAAATACTATTAAGGCCCCCAATTAAATATTCATCTTTGGTAATACAGTGATGCTACTTGGAAAGAAAAATAAAAATAAAAAAGGGAACCCTCCCAATCTCGTATGCATCATTCGATGGAGCAGTTTAATATTTAATATTTAATATTTAATTGCTTATTGTAGCTCCATTTCCATTCTCCACGCATCAACCACATCATATACAAGTTCACGCTAGAATCTCCCTGTAAACAAAAATATGACTAACATATGATGTTTTAAAAAGGTTCGAACATTTTTTTGCGGATTTATTTTATTAAAATTATGATTTTTAAAATTACAATCCATTATTAAATATAAGACTGACTACCATATTCTTATTGTAAATTATTTAATTAAGTATTTTATGATAAATATAAATTAATACAAATAAAACAAAATTCAGTAATCAAAAGGTTCATATAACATAACATGTCCCTAAATTATAAAATTAATTACTAATCTTAAATAAAACCTAACAAAATTAGTAAGATTAAAGTTAACTATAAATCGAACCTGAAAAATCCAGAAAGGTCAAACTAAATCTACATATATTTTTCAAATTTTTAATGTTTATTTATAAAAAAAAATTAAAAATAGACTATATTTATCTCCCAAATATATAAAATTTGAAATCAAGATAAACAAAATTAACAAGATCAAATAAATTCTAAAAATATGTTTTATATTTGTCAAAATTCATATCGGCAATAAATGAAATGATAAAAAGATAATGTGACAAATTACGATATACACAAAATTTTAAGTCAAAAATAATAAAATAAAGTAATTTGAGTATAAATAATAGTAATATATAATAATCAATGATATGACAAATAAATGAAAAATTATAACAGATTGCGTGGCAGATTACAGCACTATATCAATCCTAGACTGTACGATATAATTTTTTTTTTTTTAGTGATTAATCTTCTCGCTACATTAGACTGTGTATGATATAATTTGACAATTTATTTCAAATTTATTATAATTTAGCAGTTGGTCATGAATATACTCTTAATTGTCTGAATAATTTCATTACCAAATTATTTTTATTTTTAGAAATAGAAAAGGTAATTTCATAAGATTTTATTTCTTGCGTAAACTTGTTCACTTTTATTAATGCTTTTTTTTGTGAATTACTTTTATTAATATAAAGATAAAGATATGTGTAAGCGTTGCAAAAATATTATAAATAGTTTTTTATTTAAAAATTTTGAATATTACCAATGCTTTTACAAAATAAAAAAATACAAAACTTTAGGATTATAAAAGCAAAATAAATTTTTTTTATAAAATATAATTAAACAACATTGACATTAGACTATAAGAAATACTGTATTGTAAAGTTAAAATACATAACTAAATATATATTTTTTCCCAACAACAAAAAAATATAATTAGTTATAAAAATATAAGAGTAACATATTCTTGTTGGAAATGTTAATTAAGTATTTTATGATAAATATAAAAGTAATACAAATAAAACAAAACCAAAAGGCATAAAAGATACCATATAACTCTTCAAAAAAAAAAAAGATACCATATAAATTATCCCTAAATTTTATAATTAATCAACAATTTTAAATAAAAAAATACAGATTAAAACAAAAAAATTTATTTATCACTATAAAAGTTGTAATTGAAATCATGATAAATAATTTTAGAAAGAAAGAACTAATTATAAAAATATTCTTATATTTGTTGTCTAATTCTAAAAAAAGTCGAGTATACTTATCACTAAAACATACAAAATTGAAATTGAAATCAAAAAGATCAAAAAAGTATATTCTTTTTCATATTTGTTAAAATTCAATTCAAATTAAAATAAATAAATATAAAAAGAATATATGACGAATTATAATACATATAAGATTCTAAGTAAATAATAATAAAATAAAAATAATTTAAACGAAAATAATAACATGTTAGAACAAACTTTAAAATTTAAATTTAAATTAAGAATACACGAAAAGAATAAAAAGAAATGTGTAACACATTATGTTGGAGACATCTCAATCTTCTTCCGTATGAGATGAAACGACTATGTATTCCAAATTTACTATAATTAGTCCCAAGCACTTTTTCTAAAATTAATCCTCCAGAACACTTTAATTAATTTTTATTGATTTTGTTAAATTATATGTAGAGGTGATTTTATTGTTTAATTGTTAAGAAATTTTGAAATTAAATAATTTTTAAAAAGTTTTAGTTATTTACTAATTTATCTAAACAGAGGTTCAATTTGACCAATAATAAGAAGATATATATATGATTTTTTTTCAATACTTGAGTTTTATTAGTTCATTTTAAAAAAAAAACTTATAAAGATAGTTTAGAAAAAAAGACTTTGAACCATAAGTAACTCTACTTCCATAGTGACCTTTAATCCTTCCCTATAGCTAAGTGAAGTGTAATGGTGTTGGTTCAAGCTAAGAATTAGGGTGTGGTGTGGAGCTTCCCAAAGTTAACTCAGAGCTCGATTTCATTCTTCCTGCTTCTTCTTCTTCTTATGTTTGATCTTAAGGTGAAAGGAGGTAAAGTAAACTAGAAATTGATTCCTTGTTGATGGATGAAGTTGAACGTTGTTTGTTTTCATTAAATTTGGGGATGCATTGTTGAATATTGAGGTTAAATTGGTACATGGTAAGTTTTGGTGTTTTGATGCATATTGTGGTGAATTTGATGATTTTAATCATTTGGTGGTTGCATCTTGATAATCTAGTTAAATTCAAGTTGTTTTATGTTGCTTATGTGTGGTTTAATACATTGCATGTGTGGGTTTTCTAAGTTTCAAGTATGGAGAACCAAAATTGGGGTTCTACCAAGTGTATAATTCCTCATTGCACAAAGAGCTTCAAGGCGTCGGGCATGACATGGGTTAGAAACTCTCTACCTTACCAATGATGGACTCGAGATAAGTAACGTCGAACACGAGTCAAAGGAAAGCTTTCTAACTTGATCACGTCGGATATGGGTTAAATGGCATCGGGCGTGAGAGTCTTAAAGCTCTTTGACTTGGTGATGTTGAACCCTAGTTGAGAGGTGTTAGGTGTGATCAAGATAAATGTTTTTTTCCTATACAACACTAAGCACTAGTTTAGTGATGCTAGATATGACTTAGGTTGAGACTCTTTGCTTGAAATGCAACTAGGCATGGGTTTAGTCATGTCAAGTTCACAAAGGCTCTTTATCTCTTTCACACCAGATGCGGTTGAGTAGCACCAGATGTGGGCCACCTTGAGAATTCTTTGCCTCAATGATGTTAGGTGTGGGAAGATTAGTGTTGGTCATGAGTTGCCTTAAGAAAATGTGTTGTTTTTCTTGATGAAATGTCGAACATGTATGTGATAATTGTATCTATTACATGTTGTACGAGGATAAATGTTGGTAGTTCTTTGTACATTGATTTGGGATAATGTATATTAATGATTAGCTTGTTGAAATGTTGAGGATGCTTGAGGCATTAGGGTGTATTTGTGTTAATTGACTTAGGATTAAAGGGGAAAATGTTTTAAAAAGTTTGATATCTCATTTTGAGGATATTGTTGTAGTGTTCTACAAGTCCAGTTGTTGAATAGTTGACTCTTGAAGTTGATAGTTGAGTCCCTTTTAGGACCTTTGTTAATGCGATATGTAAGCAAGGTCGAGGCATACCGCCTATAAGTGCTAATGATATGGTAAGCTCACACCCAAATTGTTTCATCCTAATAGAAATACTAGATTTTCATAGTTTAAGTGGCAAAATTTAAAGATTCATGTTGTTGTGAATTTTTATTGAAATTGGCTATTGATTTAACAAGTGTAAAAAAGATCGTATTATTAGTTCAATAGGGTCAAATCGCTTAGACTGTCCATTGTTATCGTAAGGGATCTTTTAGGTAAATGTGCGGTGACGCATATAGTTAAGGTTTATGCACATGATATGTTGATTGTGGTGTTATTCATATGCTATGTGAATTTGTTGTTGAATGGCATGATTGTGATGTAAGTCAAAAATTTTGTGATGTGATTAAGTTGTTTATTTTTTTAAGGTTGTGGAATGCCACGTTGAGGTGTTATTGCTATGTTGCTAAGATGCAAGTCATGAGGTGTTTTGTTGTGTGATTTACATGATGATGTTAGTAGTGTAGATGCATTTACTTCTATACTTGTTTATGATTGTTTTTTATTTATTACTTCTATGCTTGATTACATGAGGTGTATGTTTTCATATGGTGGAATTGTAGTGATCATACTTGGTATAAAAACATGATAGAAATAGATTGCAAGTGGAGTTTGTGTTAAGGTCATGTTAGTGATAACAATGTTAACCTTTTGAGCTTCCTTGATGTACCTGATTCTTAATTGTCTTGCTTGATCAACAACTATAATTCTTCATACTTAAATACCAAATTATTGTATATATATATATATGTGTGTGTGTGTACTTGTCATATAATTTCAGTTGATAAACTTTCACACATGTGTATATATATTATGGTACATATATTTTATATTGTATGTATGTTAATTTTAGACAGTCGCAATTATAACTCCACCATTAATAGTTGAATTGTTAAATGGATGAACCATGTCAGATTGTTACACAATTCATATAAATACTTATAATTACATAACACATTTCTTTTTATATACCCCACACACACACATATATATATATATATATATATATATATATATATATATATATATATAATTATAGATAATTTTATTTAGGGGTGTTCATGGATCAGTTTTTAAAAAAATCTAAACCGAACCAAATTGAACTATTTTATAAAAGTGGATCGATTAACCGATTCATTTTTTTTAAAATTCAAATCGAACCGAACTGGTTCACTTTGTAAAATTAGATCGGATAACTGAATCAGTTTTATAAAGTAGTTTGGTTTGGATTTTTTTCCAAAATAGATCAAATTTTTCAATACGGATCAAATCGATTATGGATTAGTTCGGATCAATTTAGATTTTTTGCACACCCCTAATTTTACTAGAATTGAATAGAAACTCGGAATAACAAAATTGTTCCTCCGAATGAATTATATTTTGAATGTAAATAGAAAAAATATATTTCCTTAAGAATTTTCTGCCAAAATGTTTCTAGAATTACAAAAATAAAGATATCACGGTATCATCGATTACGTATGGTTCTAAATTATTCGATTTATCAATTTTAACTGATCATACCTAATTGTCTTTTTATAAAGTTGTATGAATTTTGATTTTTTTAACAAAATAAATATAAAATAATCATGCGTGTGACACTGTTTCATTCTAATTATAATGGAGATTAGTTATTATTCTTTAACGTCATAATTAAAAAGTTAATAAATAATATTGAATTTAAATTTATGAAATATTTAAAATAAAAGTTTTAAATATATAGTTTTTGGGCATGCATTAAATTAAATAGAGTAACAGTACTACCACTATAAAGAAGATATTCTGATTGATGATGATATGCTGGTGGTATTAAACAGTATCATAATTCATAATAAATGTTAGAAAAGAATAGCAGTTTGAGGTTGGTTGTGGTGTTCGAGGAAATAAAATGAGCAGAAATCGTGAAAACCTTCCCCACAAAAGCCAAAAGGAGTACCAATCAGTCTTTGGAATACCAAACCTGCTTACGTCATCGCTTGAATCGCCGCCGCAGTAATTAACGTTCCTTCCACCACCGTCAACACTTCACAAACAACCCCTCACGATCGCGCCACGTGTCCGAATCTCAAAAGCTGTCTTACTTTTCTTTGCTCACACTGGGTGGGACTCACACCCACGCCCTGCCACAACAACATACTCATAAACGAATACTCCACCCCGCAGGGCGGCCAATCGAATCCTTCCACGCCGAATCGGCGATTCTTCCTCACCGCTCACCGGCGGCTAGGGTTCCGGCGCCGAAACCTCGCTGTCACGGAATCCGCCAGCTCAGACCCGCATTCTCCATTAATGAACATTCCGCAATTTCGTTTTCGCAGCATTTAAAGCTTCTCCTCGCTTTTCTCTTATTTGACGCCTTTATACGATGTCGTTTTTGCGACAGAGAAAGGCCACCGCGAATCCCGTGCCACGCGAGGAGGAAGAGGAGAAGGAAAAGGAAAAGGAGAAGAAAAAGGTTAAGGCGAAGAGTATCGAAGGCGAAAGGATAAAGAGATGGTCGTGCGTGGATAGCTGTTGTTGGTTCGTGGGTCTCATATGTTCAATTTGGTGGTTCTTGCTGTTTCTCTACAATGCCATGCCGGCGTCCTTCCCTCAATACGTCACGGAGGCCATTACAGGGCCGTTGCCGGATCCTCCCGGCGTGAAGCTGAGGAAGGAGGGGTTGACGGTGAAGCATCCGGTGGTTTTCGTGCCCGGAATCGTCACCGGTGGGTTGGAACTCTGGGAGGGTCGCCAGTGTGCGGAAGGGTTGTTCAGGAAGAGGTTGTGGGGTGGCACCTTTGGGGAATTGTACAAACGGTACTTTTTCTTTTTTCTTTTTTTCCTTTTCTGTATGGGTTGATTTGGTGTTGGGTGGGTGGCGTGCACTATGTAAGGATTTTTTTTTATTCATAGGAATTATAATGAGTGCAACAACACCAACATTTGAACATAGGAATTGTAAGGACCACAGGATTCGAACATAGGAATTATAATGAGAAGTGTTTGCAAGGTGGTTTCCACTTTCTAGTTTCCGCTATTAGAAAAGATGTTTGAAAATGTTGTTTTACTTGATCGGGAAGTGAACAAGTGGCGTTTTACAACCATGGTTATTTTGTGTTAAATGAGTTAAATACTATCTGCTCGCACGACACGGAGTGGGAGTGGAACGGGGGAGTAACTCCAGTGAGTTGAAATGAAACTGACATTGTATTGTTTATCAACTGCGATGTTTCTTGATGTTGAAAAAATGAAAAAAGCACGATTCATTCTTTACTGGATCCTGAAAACCGCCAATGCTGTTTTGATGGATACTTTTAAGTTATGAATTATAACCCAGGAAGATGCAGCGGAGATGGATTAGGCAATATTCTCTATGAACCTTTCTTGAATCCTTCCATCAAGTTTACTGATTTTGTTAGAAAACACAGTGCCATAAAATGAATAACAACATTACAATCTAATCAACAGTTAACTCTTTGTCCTTTTAGGATGACATTTCTATGCATTTCCTCCAGGTTTGTATTATACTATTATGTACTTTTTTCTTTTATATTTTTTGTAATAATATGTTCTTCATTTGGTAAAGGGAATGAATTTCCTGTCCTTTGTAGCGTTAACTGTAAGGCAGAATTCTTAGACACACAAGTTGATTTTGAGCTGAACCTTTTTTACCAGTGGTTATTCAATTTGAAGTCCATCTGTTAGGCCCAGTTTGCGGAGTTTGATTCAAATGTTCAATGATCATAGCCCTTACAACATATGTCTTGCAGTGCAATTATCTTCCTTTTTTATTGGAAAATATATTTACATCAATTTCTTGTTTTATGGATGTTTAGTGTCTCCTATAAAATAATCAGCTCCTTTTGAATGATATATGATTTTTATTTTACCTTCTGCAGACCATTATGCTGGGTTGAGCACATGTCACTAGATAATGAAACAGGACTAGACCGTCCAGGCATTAGAGTTAGGCCTGTGTCTGGACTTGTAGCAGCTGATTATTTTGCACCTGGTTATTTTGTTTGGGCTGTTCTAATTGCTAATTTAGCACGCATTGGGTATGAGGAGAAAAACATGTATATGGCTGCTTATGATTGGAGAATCTCATTTCAGAATACAGAGGTAGTTATCTTTTACTTACTAAGATTTATGATTATCTGCCCTCCCCTATATTTTTGTCGTCGTATTCATTTATGGTAAACCTTCATATGGGTTTTTCCCCCCTGCATCATTTGATCAGGTGAGGGATCGAACTTTGAGCAGGATAAAAAGTAATATAGAACTCATGGTGGCCACAAATGGTGGTAACAAGGTGGTTGTTATTCCACATTCAATGGGTGTTTTGTACTTTTTGCATTTTATGAAATGGGTTGAGGCACCGGCGCCAATGGGTGGAGGGGGTGGGTCAGATTGGTGTGCCAAACATATTAAAGCAGTGATGAACATTGGGGGACCTTTTCTTGGTGTTCCAAAATCTGTCGCAGGACTTTTCTCTATTGAAGCCAGGGATATTGCTGTTGCCAGGTTCTTTTTTACCACTATAATTTGAATGCTTGGTTCTGTGTATGTTTTTCTGAAACCCAAAGTTTCTTCTGTCCGTGTCTCTTGACAAGTAGGTTTTGGAATGTGTTTTACAAATATCTAGATTATATATATATGAGAAGTGGTTGTGTAATTTCTATGCCTTTTGAATGAACAATAAGTCTCTGTTTGAGTATCTGTATTCTGTTACCCCTTGAAAGCTCTAGTTTTGATCAATAGTCTTAGTAAGTCTTTTTTTCCTTCAAAATGTAAATTTATAATGCAGCTGATCAGTTTCTAAGCTTTCAAAAAATTTGTTTCCCCCCACATATATGGGGATTTTCTTTTCTTGCCAGTTTTGTTAGAGTGAAAATTTATATATTCAATTGATGATATTGTTATAAAATGAATCATGTTAGCTGTGAATACATACATACATAATACATATAAATGAAGTCCTTATTCATGAATCTCTAAACCTCATACAGGACTTTCGCACCTGGTTTTTTGGATAAGGATGTTTTTGGCCTTCAAACTCTACAACATCTAATGCGGATGACCCGAACATGGGATTCAACCATGTCAATGATACCCAAAGGTGGGGATACTATATGGGGTGGTCTTGATTGGTCTCCTGATGTATACTATAACTGCAGTGCGAAGAAGCACAAGAACAATGATACTTACAATATATTTCAAAATGACAAAGAGAATCTTGGGTTTATGAAAAATATTAATTATGGGAGACTCATATCATTTGGGAAGGAAATAGCTGAGTTACACTCCTCCAAGTTTGAGAGGTTGGATTTTAGGGTAATGTTCCTAATATATTCATTGAGCATTTTGTTTAAATCTCTATTCTTCTTTTTAATGTTTGAATAATAGTATTTACAGAATTGCTGTCAATCTGCATAGGTGGACATACCTGATTTGTCCTTTTGAATATTGAGAATTCAGATATTTAACTTGAGTATTTGGTTAAACAGCTGAGCTTTCAGTTTGTATATGAATATTTAGTTATATATCTTTCTATCATTTATCAATTTCTAATAACAATTGCTCTGTACCTGACCTTTCATTTCCCCTCAAGTTGAAGTGCAAGTTGCTCCTTTACTATTGCGTTTACAGATGGAAGTTCCTCTGTATCTGTCTCCTGATATTCTCAAAATGTGTTTATTTCTTAACCATGTGCAGTTAGCATCAATTGTTTTTCTGAATGGCATTGTTATGAGATTCATGTATTGTTTGTTGTTGAAATTGACAGGGTGCTCTTAAGGGTAGGAACCTTGCAAACACATCTAGCTGTGATGTGTGGACAGAGTACCATGAAATGGGTGTTGAAGGAATCAAAGCTGTTACAGATCACAAAGCTTACACAGCTGATTCAATTTTGGATCTGTTTCATTTTGTCGCCCCAAAGATGATGAAGCGTGGAGATGCTCATTTTTCTTATGGGATTGCTGATAATTTGGATGATCAGAAATACAGACATTACAAATATTGGTCTAACCCCTTGGAAACAACGTGAGGTTCTTTAATTTTGTTCTTGTGGTTCACTCTTTATAAAAGATATTTACTTTTCCTTCTCAAATGCCTCTCTGACCATTTTTAATTTTTAATGTTATACAAAGCAAGCACAGTAAGGGGCTGGGGGGCAAAGAATTCTACTATTACCTAGAACTTAGCTACTGAGAAATTACTTTGTTACCTGGATTGGTGGAATTAATGGATTTTTTTTTTTAACTATTGTCAATAATTTCATATCATTCTATGTTTGAAAATATGTTGTTTCTATCTGTTCTGTGGTTTGTGTTATTTTTAATACTCTCCTGCTGTTACAGATTACCAAATGCTCCGGATATGGAGATTTACTCTATGTATGGGGTTGGGATCCCTACGGAAAGAGCATACGTCTACAAATTCGCCCCTCAATCTGATTGCCACATTCCATTTCAGATTGACACCTCAGCAAATGGTGGAAATGAGCACTCATGTCTAAAGGATGGAGTTTACAGTACTGATGGTGATGAAACTGTTCCTGTTTTAAGTGCTGGTTTCATGTGTGCAAAAGGTTGGCGAGGAAGAACCCGCTTTAATCCTTCAGGAATACGTACATTCATTAGGGAATATGATCATGCCCCTCCAGCTAATCTTCTAGAAGGTAGAGGAACCCAGAGTGGCGCTCATGTTGATATATTGGGTAACTTTGCATTAATTGAAGATATTATACGAGTAGCAGCTGGAGCCTCTGGTGAGGACTTAGGTGGAGACAGAGTGCACTCTGATATATTCAAGTGGTCTGAAAAGATCAATTTGGAGCTCTAGATTCACATGGTAACTGGTAAGTTCACTCCTTGGCCTTTTGACATTAATTGTGGTCCAAGTGTAGCTTGTCCAACTTCTTTGTCCTATCTTAAGTGAAAAATTAGGTTATAATTGTTAGGATCAGGGTAAATATTTTAATGCTCCTGATATTCACTGGTGTTTATATTGCATCTCATGTGGCTGGATCACTAGTCTTTTGACCAATTTTAATAAAATTTACAGGATATTGAACTGGCTGTGGTCAAATGGTTTAATTTGTAGTTGAACCATGATTGAAATGCAGACATAGTCTGTTCATTGTCTGCCAGTTCGACTGACTGGTTTTGTCCAGTTTTTAAAATATTGTTCTCAACGTTTTAAGTTCTTTATACACTGGTGGAACTCGTTTAAGTTCTTTATACACTGGTGGAACTCGCCCAGTTTATAAATATCATAAAATCTTTGGCTTTGGAATCACAAAATAGCGGAGTCAACATATTAGCTTTATTTATCAATATCAATTGGTCTAAGGCCCTGTTTGAATAAACTCTTCTATAAACACTTATAGAAGAAAAAAAAATGTGTTTCTCTCATTAGTTAAAATCAACTTATGTACTTAAATTTTATATATAAGTTTTCTCATCTAACTTTTTCAAAAATTGAGATGGATAAATTGATTTTAGTTTATGGGAGAAGTTCAATTTATTACCTTATTATTTAAGTAATTCTACATTTACAACAAAAATTGTACAACTTACACAACATTATTTTTGTGTATATTTATCTCTATAATAAATGAAGTGATAGACGAAGATAAACGCGAAAGTGATGTACAATTTTTTTTGTACATTTAACATTTCTCTTATTTTATTCTCTTATTGGTACTTATGAAGAAGTTTATTCAAATGGGGTCTAAGTGGTTTTGGGGTTCTGTTTTGTTAAAAAAAAAGTACGGGTGGAGCTTTTTCTCCTGTAACAGGTCCACTTGGCTTGATTTGAATCAGTAGCAAGTCCAATGTGACTTTCAGATAACAAGGGTCTAAGATCAAAGTATATTTTTGCTTTAACTTATGATTTTGGCCAGTTGGCTAATTGACTTGTTTTCAGTGTTTACATTTCTCTAAAACTAATTTCTGACCAGATATTACTATCTTCACGTCATTACTTCACTACTTGATGGAATCCTATATGCTTCAACTGTTGTGCATTAAGATGGAGATGATGTTATGAGCTCTGGAGCTGATAGAGCTGTTGCAACAACAACGGCAGCTTTCTTACCCAGATTTTTTCCATATAATTTCATCCTTTGAGGAAGTGTTAAATCTGTTTACAACCCCATCCCCATCCCCCCCCCCCCCCAAAAAAAAAAAAAAAAAAAAAAAGAAGAAAAATGTTTTTGTGGTCATTTATCCAATCATATCGCTGACTAAAAATCAAGATTTCGAGTTCTTATAAAGCTGACACTAAAATAGTGCAATCCACTTGTTACATGTATTGGCCTTTGACGTGTTCTATTTTCCTAAAAGCCTAAAATAAAGTTGCATCGTGAACAAGATTTGGCTTTAACGTGTTAACTTAGATTTTGAAGTATCCAAGAAATTCCAAACGCAAACGGATAAGATAAAGTGGGCAATATTGAAAATGTATTTCATTCCTAAAAGATGTTAGTAGTTTATGCATTGTAGTAAGATAATAATGTTCTTATATTCCATATTAGGGAAAAACAATTAATTAGGCATAGACATATTCAAAAATCTCCATCTTTCATAAATCTCACCTTATACACATATACTAACACATTTTTTAAATTTACATGAATGTCGTAAGCATGTAGGGTTTTTTTTCGAAATTTAAATTAAAATAGAATACATGAAGTACTCCAACCCATTGCAAAAAACTTAAAAATAAAATTAAAAATTAAAAATTAAAAATTAAAGTTAAAACTATGAGAAACATAAATTTGAATTATGATACCTACTAATATAACTAAAAGAACATTCAAGGACAGAACTAGTTATCCATAAATTATATAAATAAACCCGGAATTCACATAAACTCTAAACATATTGTAAGACGTAATCAAATATACCATTTTAGGGTTATCTCATTGTCCATGCCGAAAAGTTTATGATAATTACTTCAATTGTTCATTTCTTAAATATTTTGGGGAAAACAGGTCAACAAGCACCAACCATATGGTGCAATCAGATTTTGTTTTTAACACAGGAACCTTTCTGACTAGTTATCGTGGGCTCAAGTTTCATGGTGCTTCTCTCCGTGGATTTGCGATAAGTGTAAAATTTATTATAAAATAAAATAAAATAAAAACTGAAGCAAGAACCTTCACTTATAAGCAGTATTCCCTCTTGTAGATTCAAAGAGAAGTACGTTTGAATCCAGGTAGGAACCTCCAAATCATGATTTTGCGTAAAAATTATGAGACAATTGTTGCCTAAATTATGATATGAGACATTCTTAATAATTTTCAAGTGTTAGAAATATTTAAAAAAAAAAAGAATTTTCTAAGAAGTAATTTAGGGATTGCCGCTACTATTATGGTTATCTATCATTGTCGTGATTCTTAGGGCCACTGTGAAAGTGGTTGAATGAGTAGTAACTTTATTTATTTATATATGTTTAACTAAATTTAAGTTATTTATTTTAATTGAATGATTGTATTAATATTTTTATTCTTACATAAAAATATTGTTTTTATATTATTTATTCTATATATATTAATGAAGTTAGACATTATGTGTTCTTTTATTTATTTAAAGATATTTAAAATATATTAATATTTATTAAATCAATCGGTATTATATCTAATCTTCAAATCTCAAATTCTTGAATTGAGTTTGAAAGAATAGTTAATTTTTTATTATTATTTTTTATTATTTAAAATATAAAAAAAATAGTTCAAAAATTATTTACATGAAAATAGAAAATTATTTATATATATATATATATATATATATTTTGTTAAAATACAATCAAAGTTTTATGTTCAAATAAACATAATTATTTTTATTGAGAAAAAAATCTTTTAAATAATATTCAAAAATAAAATCCATGATTACATAAAAACATTAAAAAAGTTAATAATTTACCACCTTTAGATCATTTTATATCCTTTGGACATAAAGATGAGTCCTTTAATTTATAATATCTCTCTCATGTGTAAGGTGAAATATAATATCAATTAGATAAAAAAAAAAGTTATATGTATATTAAATTGAATTGCTAAATATGCTAATTAATTTTTGTTAAAAAGAAGAAAATTTACTAAATAACTTTGAACAAGTTATTAGTTTAAATAATATTAGACTCAACTTTCTTAAATAAAATTTTAGATTTAAATTATATATATATATATATATATATATATATATTATTAGAATGGAAGACTTATTAAAACAACCAATCAACTTTCCTAATAAAAATTAATTATTATAGAAAATTACTAGATACAGCATACTAATAATATAATTAAAAAATAATTAAACAGCAACAACAACTCTAGACTTATGCCGTACTCGTACACGCTAAAAGATGTTGTCCTATTCCTAAGAAATAGTTACCTAAGAGAACTCACTTAAATGTTGGTGAATGTCTTTTATTTAATTCGTTTATTTTTAATTAACTTTTATTAAAGTGTCTTCAAAAGATAAATATTTGCATATAAATCTCAATCACCTTATTAATTCATAAGTAACAATTATACTTATTTTACAAGCAAAGAATATTATATTAAAAACATGATTACAAGCTATTCTATTCCTCGTACGAAGAATATGGAGGATTAAACTAAACATTAAATAAAATAATTAATTCATTACCAGGGGTTAATTCACAATTTAAAAAATATAAGAAAGGACCCACATACCCTATGTAGAATCAATATTAACAACGAATTTTAATGACATCCATGAAAGCAATCATATCAATTCTGTCGTTATTGATAAAAATCATTAGCCATGTAGACATGGTCCAAACTCTACTGAGTGTCATAGGATCCGCCAAACCTAGTCTTCAAAATTTCTTTCCTCTACAGCTTAAGATGTTGCAAGTGTGTAGTTAAGTTGAGTTGAATTTAATATTTTTAATTAATTTTAAAAGAAAAATAATATTTTTATTTATTTTGATTCCATTAAAGTTTATTTGTAATTCATATTCAATAAAATCTGAAAAAAAGCTGTCAAACATATAAGTGTTGTGTTTGAAATCAATTAATTGAAATTACAAAATGTAAATGTGTGATCAAATATATCCTAAATCTCCTAATTAGAACATGTAAGAAGAGTATATGAATTATCAACCAAAAACATTAGTATGATAAAGTACATTTCCAAAATGATATCTTTGATCAATTTAAAAAGGGACATCATTCACTTACATGCATACCAAATCCAATTAATCACACTTGACATAAAGAAATGTGTTAAAAAAAAAAACTCAAATCTCATTCATCCTTAATCATTTTAAAAAAGTGACTTCTCATTTATTCGCATATTAAACATAAAATATAGTTTTAAACATGAAAAATATATTAAAAGGAACTCAAATATAGACTAATAATAAAATAAAATCTATATTAACGGATAATAACAATCTTAATTAATAACTTAACGATGCTGTAAAGTGGAGCAGTTGAAGCTCACTTTCTAATATCAATATATCTTAAACTCTTAACTATTGTGTTCAGAGGGTTGAAAAAGAGACGAGAGGGAGTTTGGCTTGACTTTCCTAAGTAAGCATGTGTACTATATCCAAATTCTAATTCCAAAAATCAGATCAATGCCTCAATGAAACCAAAAATGTCCTGCTTCTACGTAACCCCACAGATATAACTCCCCTTCCCTGGAAGATATATTCTCATGTGATTTTTATATATTTATCTATCGTCTTAAGCAAACCAATTAACAAATTAAATATATTTTTATATATTTTGAAATGTTTAATTGTTATTTTAGTAATCTTGTTTAAATTATACATATTATGGATTACCAATTGACTTTTAAACTCGTGGAGGCTAATAAGATCCCATTAGAGATACTTATTATATTATAATATGAAAGGAAAAAAAAATTGATATTATTGATTTTGATGATGATAAGAATGATGGTTTCTAATACTAAGAAGTATTGGACGATAGCTCAAAGTGGCACTGATGCCATCTCAGAATTGTCCAAAGGACAAATTTGTGTCATCTCACTTTCCTTCCTTTTATTATTATAATAATATATATACGATAGTGGCACATTATACTACATTAAATAATTGATATTTAATGTCATTTCAGAAGCAGTTCCAGTTACTCATATTATATTATACTATTATATATATAACCGATTTATCTTTCTAATATCATAATGTTTGATGGCTTTATAGTGACGTTAAAAGTCCAAGTGAAAAAGGAATTTGTTGGTTAGTAACAAAAACAGGTACATTAACGGTGGCGAATGGTGTTACTTTGGAGAGATATTTCGCAACCCACAACCCAATACTGTCCAAACTTGTAAGAAATTAAATGCTATCGTGACTAAAATGTATGGCCTAAAATCAACCACCACAATGTTAAGAGTGAAGACCCAGTTCTATTGACTAAACATTTCTTCACGAAACGTTTTTCTTTTTCTTCTTTTCTCTCCTAAAAATTAATCAAACAATTAAAAACCTTCACTAAAAATATTCTTGCGTACATATGGCTATCAATTACAGTTGTTGAGGTTGCAAAGTGGCATAGTAGTGCATAAAATAAGGGGGAAATTAATAATAAAACTTCGAAGGTACGGATGCTATATATATCTGACTTGCGTGGTGGTGCGAATTCTCCACTTTTAAATCGAGACCCTTCATTTTGTTTTTACATGGACAATAATAGAGAGGGCCTAGCTAGCAATTAAAGGCCTTCAATGAATCTGCAAAAGTTAGCAGGCTTCAGGTACTCTGAATTCTTCTCCCAAAAGGAAACAGTGCATTCAATTTAGACTCTACAAAACAAAGCAAATGGGAGGTTCAACCCTGCCATAGCAGTCAAACCCTTTCACCACATCATATCATATCTCTCTTTCATATATATCCCTTATCCAATTAATTAAAAGAAAAACACTATCAAAATTAAAATTAATTTGTGTAACACTAACAAAAACCTCATGCACTGAATTAGTAGTATTTAATAATACTTTGTATATATGTCCCAACTTTTTTTCTTGCCACATGTGTTATTCAGTTCATTGGATCAGATATTAATCCGATTCTCAATTACTACTTGTCTAACAAGTTCTTTTAGCACCAGAAGAATCAATTATGTATAAATTTTCTGTTAAATAAATTGGCTCCATGATATGAGTTGTTTCACTGTGCTAACAAAAGAGGCATGTATATATATATGTCAACTTAATAACCTTTCCGTCTTAGTTTTGGGTTCCATAAAATATAATTTTCCCACCACTTCACGAGATAACAAATGTCATGCACGAAACCTACTTCATGTACCATGCAATACACGCGAAAATATTTAATAAGGTAGAGGAAGGCATGCATGAAAAATCTGCGAATTTGTAATTTTTTTTTTGCGATTCTATTGTATTTATAAATTTTGTTGCGCCTGATTATATAGTTTAGTTGAAGAAATTAACAAGTATTCTTGATTAAGCAAACGAGAAAATATAGCTCGAATCTTATATCATACATAGATTATGGGGTACTAATAATAATACAATGAACTTGAAGCTTCATAGTTCTATTCACAACTTGATGAAAAGGCCACTGAAAATTAACAAAACTAGTAGAACACGCATAAAGAAAGTCTTTACAAGCTACTACTATATATAAACGTACAAAATTAACCCTTTGGCACACCTAATTAACACTAATAGTATATATACCGGTGTCTCTTCGTGGTTAAGGATGTTGTTGTTTCTTTTCCCTCTTTAACACATTACATCCTTGAGAAGCTTGTACCTTCTTGTGGAGGTTCTCGGTGAAGGCACGGGGCTCTTCCCCTTTTCCGAAGAACCACTCTCTTCATGATCATGGTGCTTGATTTTCTCGCCGGAATATTCCGAACGGTGGCTCATTCCGCCGTAGTTTCCGGCCACCGCTTTCTTCGAATTCGAACCAATGATATGTCTCGAGCTTCTCCCTTCACTTTGGCACCAATCGCATAGTCCTATCTCTGCTAATTCCCCGTAGTAGTTGCTACAATAGCTGAAAGGTTAACTAATTAAGCGTTACACTTAATATTTCACCTCTAAGATATATAATAATTAACCACATTAAAAAATAAAAATAAAATTGTCTCACATGTGTGTGTGTGCATGGTATGTATGAACATACAAGATCATGCAGCGAGAATCAAAGGAAAAAGCTTTCTATAATGGGCATGTTCATTATATGCACATATATATGCTATGAGAATCAAAGAAAGGTATGATGTAGTTACATGTATCTATCAAATTAAAGATATTATTCTATCATATGATAAAGAAAGATCTATATATATATTTAACAACTTGTTTAGATACAAATCAGAAAGAATTTCAATAACTTCTCCACCTAAAAGATAATCTTAAACTTTTTCAAACATATTTAGTACGAAGATTAAAGAAAACATACGAGTGCTGGAATCGGTGGCGACATTTGTTGCAGCGAAAAAGTTTGTCAGAGAAACCAACGTCACCGCACATGCAGCAAACGGTTTGAAGGTCCACCATGGTTGATAGATCGGGGAGAGGAAGAGATGAAGAGGCAGAAAGCATAAATATGAAAGAGAAGATGGTGTGTGATAATAAGTGAAGTAAAAGGAAGGAAGCAAAAGGGAGAGAGAGAGAAAGATGGTTTATATAGAAGAGAAGAGAAAGGAGAAGTGGGTTTGTTTGAGTCGGTGTATGAATGTGATCTAATAATAATAATGTTTCTTTGTCCATTTTCTTAAAATAACAAAAGGGGATATATACACACAAGAAGACCACAGGTTGCTTGCAGTCGTTTTCAGTTAGAGAGAGAACCTTAAAAAAAGAGAGAGGAAAAGACACTAGTATCCTGTGCCTCATCACCTTGCTTCATTATCTTTTCTTACCTGTTTTTTTATTTATTTTTTTTTCTTTTAATCTTCTTTTCACTAATAACCCATGAACATTTCTATATACTAAACATTTTTTAATTATCTATGTTATAGTCATATATAAATGAATTTTTTAAAAAAATTAACTCCAATCAAATCAATCTATTTTATAAAAATATATTAATTAATTGAATTATTTTTATGAAATAGATCACTTCAATTATTTTTAAAAATGAATTAGATTTTATAGTCCAGATGGAATCAATTTTAAATTAATTCAAATTGGCTTAGATTTTTTATACACCCATAAAATATATCAAGTAGTTAGTTCAAGTGTAACTTAAAATCAGTTTTTTTAAATAAGATTTCGCATCTGAATCTTATAAATAAGAAAGCTAAAATAACACATTAAAAATGGTTATCAAAATTTTTTAATTTTACCAAAATAAAAAATTAATTTTTTAATACAAATTAATTATTAATAAATATTTTACACTAATGATATAGTAAATCGTGAGCTTTGAGTATAAATAATTTCTGAAGGTTATTATTTCTCCCTTTCTTGTTATGGCATTATATATTATACTTATTTATATGTACTTTTGTGTCTTTTTATAAGCGGATGTCACTATCTGTGGTTTTTGTTTTCTTTTATTGTTTTTTCTTTTCAACAGTTTTTGTCCGGTGGGTGGGTTTTGGAATTTGCATATAATAAAATTGAAGAGTTGGCTATCAAAGGTAGTAGCCATCACAACCACGCTCCTCACACTGTGAGAAACACGCATCACAAACCAAAGATTCGACAAGTGTATGGCGCCAAAACGTGTATAATAATCACGCAACCAGTTGTATTGTATCTGTTGAAACTTGAAACCCAAACCGTCCAATATGCTTACACCGTAACGCTTCCACATCAGCTCCTCCAATCCAACGTGAAACTTATAATATATATCGTTATTGATTTTGTATTCTCAAATTAATGAAATCGAGACCAACGTTAACGTGATGTGTTGGTCGCAGTGATTTTCATTCGAGCTTTTAGTATAAAAAACATGCGTTAAGAGAGATTTGTTTTCTTCAATAAGTTTGATATAGTCGCGACATAAAATGACTTCTCAACATGTGAAAGTGTATGACGAAAAAATTAATGAAATCAAAGTTGTGTCAGGTTTGTGGTTTAAACTTTAGGGGAAAAAAATCAATGGACACCCTACTGCTATATAACATCTAGATAGAGATGGAGAGAAGAGAGAGAAATGTTTCTTTCTTATTGTAATTCAAGGATTGAATGGTATTATATGAGAAATTTACAAGGTACAAAGTTGGTAATGATTGTGAAGTTGGATTCTTGAAATACATTGATGATACATTAATTGCTTGTAGAGGATGCAAACTTGGATAATTTATGAACTTTAAAGTTGGTTTTTTTCAGAGGTTTTGAGCTTTGTATTTGGGTTGAAGGATAATTATCATAAAATTAATAACCTTATTGGTATTAAAGTGGATGATGATTTTCTTTTATGGTTCCGGCCAACTTAATTTCAAAATAGCGGGGTTCCTTTCAAGTTCTTAGGCTTTACTATGATCAATTTTGGTGACATAATCACTTATATAAAGTATAAAGCATATGTTATTTAGTTATGTAAATTGTAGTTTTTTGAAATGTTCTAGTCTGGAGGACGTCTAGGGTTATTTCTAGGTGAGTCCCAAAATTAGAGTATTCAAGTGTGTAATTCATAGTTTTAAAAACTGGATCGGACATCAAACCGGTTAGGGTACTGGATCAGTGGGTCAAAAGTTGAATTGGTAGGTTACTAATTGAACCTCATGACTCAGTTTTTATTAATTTTTCAAAAAAATATTCATGTTAAATATATTTTATACTTATAAA